TATGGCTTATCTTGCTCTTCTGTGATAATTCAGAAAAACAATAAATGTCTTCTTACAGCAGACTGACATTCAGTATTGAAATTAGTCTCCTAATCTTTATGTGATTGCTTTCTCTGTGATAGAAATATTGCCTCTTGTAGGGTATTTATTGTCTAGTTCTTTCCAAAGTATTGACTTTATGTAACCGTTTGATATACATCAAATCCCTTAGAGATTTAATAAACTCTTCTGGTCAGTCTTCTGTTGTAAACACATTGAGATTTATGGTCATCTTAGCGGAAAGCCCTTTTTCGCTGAAATTCTCTGCTTCCAGATATCAAAAGATACGAATGGGAGCATAGATCACTGTGGGAATCCCAGCTCCCAGCTGTTGCATGCTGGTCAGGAGCTGCTGATGGTCGAAATGAAGTGTGTGTGTGTCGGGTGACGGTGCAGCTGCCAGGGCTGGGCTAGGGGCACCAGGACCGTCCTTTGCTCCTGTGGCTGCAGGGCCTGGACAGCCAGCTGGGCTCATCTGTCCCTGACACAGCTTGGCTCCAGGAGCATTCCAATGGAAGAGCAACAGGAAGGGAAATATTTACTGTTACTCAGTTTCGCAGAAAGTTAATGTATTGGTGCTGTGCTGCAGCACCTGGAATTGAGAAAAATGGAAAACTGGAAAAGTAACATATAAGCCTCACAAGCAGCCACATGTATGTCATCTCCCTGCCAGGTTCCTTGTGCTTTCCCACCCTCTGACTCTCTGGAGCTATTATTTCTTATTCTGAAACCAGACCATAGGTATTTCAGTATGATACTTTAAAAGTGTCCTTTGCTTTAGGATTGGAGAGGGGAGGAACACACTTGCTTTTAAGAAGAAACTTTTCTCCATACGGGAATCAGCTTTCCAGGGACAGCCTGCAAGAAATCCAGCCAAGCTCTTCAAATTCACTCATTAAATGCAAATATTCTCTTTTTCATCTTACATTAACCTCCCTTTAATGGTGTGAAAATGTCTTTTCATTTCACAGCTCAGCATTAAAAGACTATATAGTGAGAGGTTTCTGAAGTGTTATAAATCAATAGCAGCTAGAGAACAGAGCAGGTTCCTGCTTTCCTTGCACTGGGGAGGAGCTGCCATTCCTATAATGTCCAAACCAATCCCTTTAGGCTGGCAGTGCATCCAAACCCTGCCCCTACCAGCTGCTGGAGACTGGGGTCTGGGGTCTGGCTCTAGAAAGTAAGTTCTGGATTGAGGCCTTCCTCTTATTTTGGTGAGATGAATTTCAGTTTTCCTTCTGATGGTGCAATTTAATGGGTAAATGCAGTTTGCAGATGCCTCTCCACAGACTTTGCATTTCCTGTTTTTGGTGGTGGTGGTGGTGTTCCTGCCCTTCAGCTTCTCTGCTGGGCAAGAATGAGAGGCAGCAGTGAAGATAAAATGTTTTTCCTCACCTGCCTGTCACAGAAGGTGCCTGTATTGCTTCTCTGGCTGCTTCATGGCTTGGGGACAGGTAATTGGTTGGGGCGGTGATGAAACCTCAGATAAATGGTGTGATTCCATGGTTTCTCTGCTGATGGGAACACTTAATGGGAAACTTACTGGGAATGATAAAGTGATGTATTTAAACAAGCTAGAAGGGGAATTTGGGTGATGTTTTCAGGCAGCATGACAACCACAGCTCTCTGGCAGCTCACTATTTCCCACTCTGCAAACCCAAACCTAGAACTGAAGGCTGGTGTGTGCATCACTGTGCCCGGGGCTAGACCTTGGCAACAGCGTGGAGTGGCCTGTCCTTGTCCCTCATTTGCGTGCAGTGTTGCACCAGGCTGGAATTCCCTCAGAGCAAATATTGGGAACAGTTCCCAGGGTGCTGCCAGCCACCCAGTTTGCTCCTTTGCACATCAGGTTGTTGCCACTGGAGCAGCAAGCAGAGCATTCATGTGGAGCTGAAACCTTGCAGTGTTATTTCATCTCCATTATTTTTCCCTCCTGATCTATTGAGATATAACCACTTGCAAAGACAGGGACAGATTATGGCCATGGAGATGGCTTAGCTGGGACACAGCTAGTCATTTTTCCTTGCTGATATTTTATTAATATATGTTATTAACCTTGATTCTCCTTCCCCACGGTGCTTTATCATCTGAACTAATTAATTCTTCTTTCAAGATGTACAGGGAAGGGATGGGCATGTAAATGAGATGTGTCTCCATGTGGCCATAGTGGTACCTGCAGTGAGGGTGATCCCAGCTGAGGAGGAGACCTGGCACACAACAAACAGACCTGGATACATGTACCTGTAGATTGGCTGAATTCATCCTGTCCCTTTTAACTGTCACAAACACTGAGGGAGATGACACCCTAAGGAATAACAAAGCTGGTTTTCTGCTTTTTAAATGACCATGAGATAGCCAGGAAGAATAAGCAGTTTATTTGGTTGGTCGCTCCCAGCCAGCCCCATCTCAGGATGTGAAGCACTGACTGGCCCCTAGATCCCCCTGCCCTCCCTGCTCTCCCCAAGCCGCTGTGGGTGATGCTTAGCCCCAGCAGGGTGTGAATGGGGCTGTGCAGAGGGTCCCCTCTCCCTGCCCCTCACACCATGGTGCTGCAGGGGACTCCAGCCCCAGGAGCTCACCCACCCTGTGCTCCCAACAGCTGCTATTAACACTCTTCCTTTTCTTTCAATTCTCCCTCCCCTTTCTTGTTTTACTCTTTCTTTCTCTCACACCTCCCTGCTCCAGGGCTGACATTTGCTAATAGCAGCACACTGGTAGAGAAGCAGTGGAAGTCTGAACAAAACTGGGTGCCTGCTATAGCCTGGCAGGGTAAATGTAATCCTGTTAGCAAGATGAAAATACCATATGCCAGGCAGAGATGGAAGATCAGAAAGGATGACTGTTCTTGCAGAGGGCAAAAGAAAATACATACACAAATTCATTCAAAACTAAATAAAAATTGTCTGGATTTGTAAACAATGTCCTGAAAATGGCTCATCTGATTCATCTTACCCAGAGATCTCATTGCACTGAGTGACCTCTGTGTTCGCAGCCTGGGTTTACTGCTCTTTATCTGCAGGGTCCCTGGTGCTGGTGAGAAATGGCACTTCCAAAACGATGCATTTGCTCCTGAGCCACTGCAGGGCTGTGGAATGAAGGAGAGTCATGTGTCCCATGGTCCAAGGGGCTTGTTTGTCCATTCTCGCTGGGAAATTCAGAACTGCAAATGCTGAAGGGGTGGGAAGGTTCCAGGGAGATCTTCCTGCAGCTTTTGGTGCTACTTTATATTCAGCAACAAAGTCTTCGCTGGAATAAGCCGGTGCTATCAGTTCTGCCCGTGGCTGTCCGAGCATCCAGGTCAGTGAGGGTTGAAGAGGCAGGCACTGCCTGGGCTGGGGACAGTGTCCCTGGGCTGGGGACAGGGCCAGCCCCCTCAGGGCCTGTGGGCACCCACGTGCTGTCACAAACCAGCGTGGCTGGGAAGAGGGAGTGGGAGCCACGGCAAGCCTTGATGCCAGGAGAGCTCTGAAATCCAAATGTTGTTTCATGGAAGAGCATCTCTGAGAGCAGCCTACAGCATTTTACAGGCATTTGAGTGTTCTTCCCTTTGAACTAAGCTGCAATTTGTCTTTGTAGATGTCTGTAATACATTAATACAAATGGTGTAGTAGTGGAAATGCATTATAATACTGCACAGTGTTGCTCTTAGTAATTCTCCTCCTTCAGCAAGTGAACACTTCCTCGCTCATTTGTATTCATTGTTTTGATGCTTAACTTGAAAAATGTATATTATACAACAGGCTGAAACCCATGACGAATAAAAGGAAAGAACCCAAGGGGATAATAAGCATCTCAGCACTGCTGTGATGTCTCCTGCTGCTAACATCAAAGCAACCAAAGGCATCAGTGCTGTGTGCAGAGGACAGGGAGTTCCATGGAGTTCCATCTCACCACAGGGATGGAGACCCCAAGACTGGGGACACCAGGGAGCACCACCAGGGCCAGCACTCGCAGGGCTGGTCCTTTTTGTCCCAGTGTCACTGCAACTGGGTCAGTGCAGCCCCTGTGCTCTCAGCCGAGACTGCTGCCTCTGGGGCAGCCGAGCTCCAGCCAAGCAAATTGTCCTGGGTTTGTCCCTGTCCAGCAGGATGTGGCTCTGTCCCACCCCGTGCCTGACCCTGTGTCTCTGTATCCCTGTACCCTGTGTCCCCGTGTCCCTATGTCCCCGTGTCCCCGTGTCCCTGTATCCTGTGCCCCCGTGTCCCTGTGTCCCTGTGTCCCTGTGTCCCTGTACCCTGTGTCCCCGTGTCCCAGTGCCCCTGCCCCTCAGCCTGGCTGTCTGCTCTGAGTGATCTGGGCTGTGGTGCTTTCGAGGAGCAGCTCTCCATGAAGTCTCTGATGTGTCAGGTAAGGTTTGGGTTATTCCATATATTCCATATATTGGAATTATAAGGGAATTTGGGTTTATAAGGGAATTCCATCTATTCCATATATTGGAATTACAAGGGAATTTGGGTTATTCCATATATTGTTGTCTCCAGTAACCTCATGCACATCCTGCCTTGTAATTCAGACCATAGAATCCTGGATTTAGTTTTGAGGTATTACTGTCATGGATTTTTACCCTGCAAGTGTACCTGTAAAGTCATTAATATTCAAATAACTTCACTAAATAAGCAACTATGCCAGAGTAGTTATTTATTACTATTTATGATGAGACTTATCTAACTGATTTCTCCAGAGGAAATTAGATACATTGCTTAGTTAAAGCTGTGCCAGGGAGGAAATGTTTCTATAAATACTTACCAACTCATCTGGAGAGATGATAAGTGCTGGTGTGTCCTTCACAATGTCATGTTAGTTGCTGAGTCTGGTTTAAAATTCAGTTGTTTTTGTTCTCTGGGAGAAAGAAAACCTGATGGTTCTAAGGTGAGGAACAAAGTATATGCACAAAAATCAGTCCTGAACTTTGAAACCTTGAATCTGAGGACTTTTTGATTTTTTTTTTTTTTTCCTGTTAGATTTAATGGAGACTAAATTGCCAGACAGGCTAACACATTCTGCTTGCTTACCTGGCACTGGAGGACAAAGTGACACATGGTGCCAGGCAGGGTGTGTGTGCCACCAGTGCAGTGGTGGGAGCAGTGTCTGTGCCCAGAACTGGCATGCCCTGCATCCTGCGCCCTGCTCAGAAGGAGCTCAGCAGGGGGAGGCACCATCCTGCCCATGGGACTGCAGCACCCCGACAACAGGTGTGTACCAAATTCTGCTTCAATTACACTGAAAATTATCTTACAAAAAAGGAAGTTTAGTTGTGAATCAGGCTGAGGCACTGCATGAAATGCATTCAGATAAGCAAATTACTTAACTAAATCTCATATTTTGCCTGTTTTGAAATCTCCTGTGGTTTCCAGCAGGCCTGGGAAATGGAAACAACCGGCAAATAATGGAAAACATTACTATAGGCTTCCACCTATGGATTGCAGGAGGGATGCAGGGAAATTGCATCCTGGTTTACATGAAATAATACACAAAGAGCTGAAATGGATGAGTGAGACTGGGGTCCACCCTCAGCATTCCTCCATGAGCACACATTCCTTTCATTTCCAGTGCCAGCCCTTGTTCAAGGTGACTCTTCAGTTCTGTTGCTGTTTTGGATACAGAAGTGACCCAGGGGCACCCAGTGATTTATTTGTAATAACTGACCATTCAGAAATAGCTGTGGGTGCCACTAGCTCCCCGGTGCCTGGGGGGGTTGTCGGTACCCCTGCAGGTCCCCTTGTTCCTCTTGGACCCGTGGCTTTGATTTACTTATTTCTTTGAGTATCCTTCCTCCTGTTTTTTAAAAGCTCAAATATGGACATTGTTTTGCTGCTGGCTCTGAGGTAATGGGGGTTTTTTGGCAGTTACCTTGTTATACAATCTCAAATGTCAAGAAATCCACCTACCAGCCTGTCTCTGCCTTAATAGGTCTATTACCAGCTCCAGCTAGTTTCAGAATAAACTCTAAAACTATGGCTAAACACATAGATTGCATCTAGCTGCAGCCGTTAAACAAGTTAATTCCCTCTCTTGCCTGGAAAAATTGTTCACTCGACAGCTCTTTGGACCCGCCAGGTTATTTTTAGCCACAATTAACACACCAACATACAATGTCATAGCACCCCTTCTGTTAACTGATGTGCCAGCACTTTTTTTATTCAGTAAACTATAAAAAGTTTTAAATTTTTAGTATTTAAAGCCTTGAAGGAGAAAGCCCCCTCTAGTATTGACGCCTGATGACATTTAGTCAATGAATTAAGAAAAAAAGAACGGTGATGGTTCTGACTGTCTCCTAGCTCTTGCTAGCACTAAATTACAGAATTAATAGGCTTTTAGAAGAGACTGACACACAGTTACTGTGGTAAAGACAATTAAAAGTGGAAAGCCACTTTTCTCACCACATTTAATTTTAGCTGGAGGCTTTGAGACTCAATAAATCTTTTTCTTATTTCATTCTCACATTTTCCACAGGTATTCAAGTCTTTAAGAAAAGCTCCTGCTATAAACAACTTATTTTTTTCTTTCTCTGAATCTTTTGCTATTCTCTTTTTTCCCTTCCTCAATAAGAAGTTGAGGCGCTTTCCCATCACCAGCACTTTACTTTCTTTAGAATTGCTGTTACTAAGATGTGGCTCAGGTTTTTTGAAATACAGTGGGGCAGAGGTCTCAGTCCTGTCTGGGATTTTTCTGGCAAATCCAGCTGGGGGAAAAATAGAAGCAGAAAAAGCCACTTGTCTGCAGGAATATCTCAGGACAGTGGGGCTGGGGTGTAGAAGAGGGTTTTTTTTAAGAAAACAATAGCGTCATGGAAATGCAAATTTTTATGACAGTTTTGGAAACACACTCAGAAAATCTTTCTATTCCAAGAGCTTGGGCTTAATTAGCCTTTCCTTAAGTTAATGGATAAACTAGAAATTTTGATTTTGTTTAAAAACGCTTTCCTAAGAAACACTTGTTAAAGAAGTTGCTGCGAATGGATTTATGCAGCCTCAGTGACTGTTCAGAGGAAGCTGCAATGGCTCAGCGTTTCCCCCACGCAATGGCTCTCCACAGGGTTTATTAGCACAGCCTGCTCCAATGCCTCTTGGAAAGCCGTTGGCACAGCATACTGTAAGTCTCTTCACTTGCCAAAAATTGTTTTAGGCTCTTGTTCAACATCAAGTTCATATTGTGACCTTGGGTGGAAGCACCCAGGGAGTGTTGCTGCTTCAACCAGTCAGTACCTTTAGGGCAATTTCTCTGGGGGAGATGAGCCATGTGTCAGCCACATCTCCTGGCCAGGGGCATCGTGCTCCTCCTTGGTCAGGTACAGCGGTTCACTCCCTGTGACCAGTCTGAGGCGTGCAGAGCTCAGCACAGGGAGCTTAATGGAGATACCCCCACATTTCGCAGTTTGAACAGAAGTTCATTCTGATGGCAGCTTTGGTAGAGGAAGCAGGACAGAAGAGTTTTAATCTTTCCCTGCCCTGGTCCTTCTGACAGGCCTCTCTTGGCAGGACCGTCATGACTTGTGGATTTCTTCCACCTTCCCCAGCTCGCTGCCACTGCAGATATGCCCTGAGCTGATGCAGAGCAGCTTCCCTTGCCATGCAGAGGCAGCAGCATTAATGTCAGGTGACATTTATACCTCCCTCCCCACTGACTTAACATCGTGTGAGTGGTTCAACGTCTCCACAGAGATTGATGGAGCAAATTACCCTTCCAAAGGACCTGTGTCTCTCTGACTGTAGGGATCAGGGTGACTAATTTCAGCCTGACACTTCCCTTCCCAAGGCAGCAGCACTGAGATGTGTCCTGGCCATGCCCCTGTTGCTGCTCCCCAGTTGACTGGTTGATGAATGGCCTGGCCTTGGCACTGGCAGCAGTGGTGATGGATGCACTGCCCGGTTCTGCGGCTCTGCCTGCTGCTGCCACCCGCTCCCAGCCACCTCAGCACCCCCAGAGCAGCCCCACATCCCTTAGGGACCTTGTCAGGAGGGACAAGGAGTTAAAGGAGCTCCACAGCCAGGCCCTGCAGCCGCGTGGCTCACGTTCTCCACTGGGTTATAGTCAATCCCTGTATGATACTGTCAGTGAGGGTGAAATGAACTTGAAGTAGCTGAAAGCAAGATAGGTTAATTAAAAACCTTGATCAAAGCATCATAAACCATCTTTTAATTATTTTGAAATGGTCTCTCAGGCAGGATGACCAAGAAGAAGTCCCTGTTTCCAGGGCCTATGAGCTATGAAATTATGTCATCGTGTCAGATTCAGTTATCACTTGCTGTCCAAAAGAGAGAAGGGCACAGCCCGGGATTGTCCCCCTGTTCAGGATGAAAATGAGGAATTGATGACTTGTTACACTGGTGTGAGGTCAGGCTGGGAACTGCACAGACCCTCCCAGCCTGGGGCACAGCCTGGCCAAGCTGGCCTTGCATCCTGTCAGTGTCAGCTCTGAATCCCACACTTTGGGAATCAGGTTTCAGCACCTGCTGGATGTTTTTGTTCTCACCAGCACTTTCTGCTGTAGAGTGAAATCAAAGCAGCCAGCCCAGCAGTGTCTGAGCTCTGTGTTTGACTCGGAGCAGCTCACTGTGCTTCCCAGCACGCTCATTCCTTCAGCAGCGAGCTGACACCGCTCCTGGGCTCCGTGACACCTCTGACTTGGCTGAGCACAGAGGGGAAGAGGGCACAGAAATGATTACCCAAGGAAGATTCCAGTGGGAATTTTAGGTTACAAATGATAATTCTGCACTCTGTGTAGGATAGCTGTGAGATGCAAATTCAAGTCCAACCCACCACAGCGCAGGCACAGGTACCATGGGTGTCAGTGCAGCGATGTGCTGTAGTGGGAACAGCAAAGGTTCTTCCAAATCCCTCTTCCTGGTATGGGAAATGGGACCAGAGTAGCATGTACTTCCTCCTACCCTTTGGCTTTTGTATTTTTGTGCTGTCAGAGGCCTGTATTTACCATACATTATACACTTAGAAAATGACAGGCCTGTAATGCTGACTGAAGGCAGTGATATGGTAGTGTGAATAAATAGCATTTCTAGTGCAATACTGGGATAGTCTGGGCTGTCTTGGGTGGGGTACTGTAATTGCAAAGACTTCCTTTCTTGTGTTGATTTTGGATTTCATGCAAATGTTGTTTCTATCCTATTATTTAGCCCCTGGGATAAGATTTTTGGAATACAATGATTTCTTGTATAAAGGCCCGAGTTAGAATCTAGCAGTGTTCCTTTCCTGTCCTATGGTTTTGCTGTGAGAGGGGAAAGAAGTGCTGGAGAAAAGAGCAACACGCGCACACACAGCTAATGAGAGCAGGGTGTGAAAGCATCCTGTCTTTCCTTCCCACCCAGCAGTGATGGACTCCACAGCAAACTGCAGCACTGTGAAACGTGGGAGGTGTCGCACACGGTTTGTTCATCACCCCATTTACTGCAGAAGCAGCCCATCGTCTCTCCCTGGAACAAAAGAGAAGGACAAAGGGACTTTGGGTAGAGGATCCGTGTGGCCTTGGTGACCCTGGGCTGGAGCAGTGGCCGCTGTGCCTCTGGTGCCAGCCAGCAGGGGTGGGGAGGCCAGAGCATCTCCCAGGACCTTCAGAGCTCCACGAGGGGCTGAGAGGTCACTCCTGGCACAGCTCCAAGCACACCCACCCCACCACTTACAGCTGAACTGCGTTTGGAGAACCCAGTCTGTGTTCTGCAGTGAGCAGGGGGGCTGTTCACAGCATCCTGCCATGAACTGGCTTCAAGTGGCCCCTTGAGCTCTCTCAATTAATTAGTTTGATGAGGAGCTGGGTTACTTACCAAGTACATGTGCCTCAGAAGCCAAGTTACAGAGCAGCTGTGAACTGGTTTGTGCTCCTAGGCCAGCACAACCAGGGCTGCTCTGCATCTCCCGCGTTTCAACACAGTCTCATGCCCTTTTTCCTTTCTTTCCTATTAAATTCCATTCCCTGGGCTGCTCTCCCTCCTCCTCCAGCGCTGCAGAGGACAGCTTTTTGCACTTCCACAGTGGTTCTGCACAGCCCACTCACCTCTCAGTGTCAGTGTGATCTGTGTTACAGAGACATCAAAGCACAGCATCCTCTGGGAAAAGGAGAGATAAAGGGAGAAGAAAATGTTCCAGAAGCACCGACAAGCAGGAGTTGTGTTTAGCCCCTTTTGGAACAATAATCTCCCCGAAGGTGTGCTGAGCACTCTAGCAAGGCACAACGGGAGCAGCTGGGGCTCTGTGCACAGCATAATCTGATCATGCTCTGTTTGGGTAAGAAACACAGCTTCATGCTTCTCACCTTCTAGGAAAGAGATTTATTATGAAAATCAGGTCCCTGCCTCAGAGCACGTAAAAAACAGTTGGCTTCATAACCTTGGGGAAAAAAGATAAATAAAGAAATCCCGTGAGACACGTGTGAGAACTGAGTAAGTATTAAAACATATGTTGGAACATATTGATCCCTGAAAGCCTCCTGCAACAGACATGAATCTTTTTCATTTCCAGCCCCACTGAAAGTTTAATGAGGATGGTGTGTGCCACTCACCTGGATCAATCATTTATGCAAATTCCTGCCAAGCCCCACCACAGGCCCTGTCTCAACCCAGCAAAGAAGACCATGCTGTGTTTCAGCTGTGTGATATCAAACCTCTGCAGGGAGCACAGCACAGCCCTGGCCAGGCATCCTATCTCAGGCTGCAGGGGCTGCCACCTTCGTCAGGTCAGAGGGACGTCCAAGGACCTACGATCTATCCTGGGATCAGCATTCCTCCTGCTAGTTCTTGTCCATGGTAGTGTCCCAGCGACACCTGGCTTGGGTGAGCAGAGTGCCTGACATGGACCCTTTCATTCCTATTTCAGGTACACCAGATTTTTCCTTTTTGCCTCTCGAAGTGTATGTGTAATAAATATAGCACAGGCCTAGGAGAATGAAAAGATGAATCACAGCTATGAAAATACTTGACTGTATTTTAAGCAGGACTCCCAACAGGTACAAACATAACCATCTACTGCTGACGCGCTTCAGAGGCCTCAAAAGACCATTGAGTTACTGTTAATTATTCTTAAAATAAATTATTACTATGCAGCATTAATTCAGAAGAAACTGTAAGTTCCATGCTATTTTCTACAGCTTGTTTTCACAGTGAATTAATGGGAGTTAATTTAGCAGTTCACAACAAACAGGACCACTGCAAGAATACAAACAAGGTGTTGCTTCCTGAATTCTTCCTCCCTCTTGTTTGTGCTCCTCTTTGACTTTACTAGATGTAGTACAAAAGGTCTTAGTCTGGCAGAGAGCAAATTTGCTGGAAAGGCAGAAACTGGGAAAAAATACTGCATGATTTTCTCCTCTTGTGGATATTAACAGTTTGGCACAGATACATTGCTCTCACAGTGGAAAGGAATGGTAAAAAATTGGCTCTAATTCTTTGCAGTATGTTAATATTAGTATCTGTGAACAGTGTTGGTGTTGTCATGTCTGTGTAGCGTGTCCTTTGTCCAAGACCGATCCCAGTTTTCTGGATCAAGAACCATTTCAGCCTACAGGTGGCATTTGACTGTCAATCACTTTCTCTAAAAATGCAAGAGATTTTAGTCCTCACTGAGATGGAAAACTAAAATAAGCAATTTGGAAAGCATTCTGCATTTTGGAGAGGCTTTCTATAATTTATTCAAACTCAGCTTGAAACAGAGAAATGGTTTTACCCCCAGAAACATCAAAAAATACATTGTGTCAGCAAGTACATTGTGTAGGAAAATCACCAAATCTTCAAAAGCTGCAGGTCGAGGTCGCCTGTGCTAACAAAGTGCTCATTTACAGCTGCAGCTCCTGTGGATGCCTGTGCAAGCCAGATGCTCAGCAAGTGTTGGGGTCCAGCTGGTGTGAGGCCAAGAGGCTCTTCAACAGTAATGTCCACACAGCCAGATATGAATTTGGGGACCCCCCCTTAGCCAATCCAGAAGCTGTAGGGATGCACAGAGGTTCCTTGGGCATTTCAGGAGAGTAGGATGCTCCTACCTCCTGGCTCAGGCTTCTTTCTCTGTGGTGCCAGAGATGGGAGCTAATATTTACTGCAGTGGGCATCCGCTCCAGAAGGTCACAAGCGATGGGAGGAAATAGTCCCAGGTGGTGTCAGGGGAGGTTTAGATTGGATACTGGGGAAAATTTCTCCATGGAAAGCGCGTCCAGCCCTGAACAGGTTGCCCAGGGCAGTGGTGGTGGAGTCCTCATTCCTGAATAGATTTGAAAGGCATGCAAGTGTGGTACTTAGGGACAGACTTTACTGGTGGCCTTGGCAGTGCTGGGGGAACAGTTGGACTTGGGGGTCTTAATTGTCTTCCCAACCTCATTACCTCTGTGAATCCATAAAGCTGTTGCTTGCTTTTTTTCTTTGAAGGCGCTTCTATCCTTCTGGGAGATCATGAGTAGAGCGAGTTGGGGTTTCATTTTCATCAGGAACAAAGCAAATCAGTCCTGGAAATGCTGCCTGTGTGGTTTTAAAGATCTGTAGCAGCAGTTGTAGAGACTGGGGGTGGGGAGAATGGCACACAGAGAAAATTTCATTCAAGCAATTAAGGAATCACCACACTTTTATGATTAACTTCTTGTTCCCAGGTTGAATGCAGAAGCTGTTAGTGGGGGCATTGCTATTCCATACCTGACACGAACAATGGGAATATTTGTTCTGCCCGGGAGGATTACACCATCCATTAATCTAAGTTTTATTGAAAGTTTAACTAACAGACAGACAAAATTTGATCAATTAGCAGCGTAATTCCAAGGAGATGTCACAGTGAAATTAAATCTCAAGCATTTTTAATGCAAAGAAACCTAGGAGCTCCCTCCAGTTTTCTTTCTCAGTACAGTGTTTAGATTTTAATTGAAAGTTTATTCTGCTTTGTGCATCTTTAGTAAATTTTAATTTCAGACTGTAATGAGAACAGTTTTCTATTATAGTGTTTGTAGCATTTCACAGATAGATCAAAGATGTCTCATAAATGAAGAAAGCAAACAGATTTGTGTAGGATCCACTAGCCACAGAAATCTCCAGGAGAAAAGAGATTGATGTGGGGAAATGGAGAGGGAATTTGTGCTGTGATGAGGAAGGATGCTTGGGGGGATCCAGGTGGCTGTGATTATTGTACCCATGTGCTCAGACCCTGGGGGTTCACTCAGGGCTCCTTCAGGTCCCCACTAGTGCCAGACCGCCGGGGCTGTTCTCGTGCTCATCCCACCCCAGACAAAAGCTGCTCCCTTAGCCCACCTCGGCACTGCTACTCCTCTGCTTCCCAACAGCTGTGGTCCCCTTCCTGCCATCCCGCCATTCCAGCTTTCATTTCCTTATATCTCTGTCCCCAGTGAAGTGTTATTGCCATCCTTACTGCTCCCCATGTCTTCCATTTTTCTTATCATAAATGTCATTCTCATACTGCAAATACCAGAAGTGCCACAACCTTCCTGTGAATCTATCTCAGTGTTATCTTTGGAGACATACCTCATCTGAAAAGAAGTAATACTGAAAATAGCTGTATATTTTTGGATGTATATTTTTGTCTGGAAGGATGTTAGGGATCAGCTTATCGGGCAGCTGAAGCCATGCAAATCCTCCGTCTGCAAAGGTCTAGTTTTGTTTATACACTAAGAGTTTCTGGTCAAACCTGGGCCTTGATACCCTTACAAAAAGCTTCCCAAAAGTGACAAAGACTAACAATTTAACAGAAGATACTGGTGAGGGAAGGTTTCTCAGCGATAGTGGAGGTACAGAACACAGCAGCAGCAGCTGAGCTGCTGGGTGTGCAGCGCATGGGCTGTGATGGCAAATCACTCTGGGCTGTTCCCCTGTCAGTCACCATCAGATGAGCAAATACCAGGAGGAACTGGAGCTTGTGAAAACTAATAGATGTGACTGCACATACCCAACATCTGATGATCTGTAACAGTACCTACCAAGTCAATCTGTTTGCAAATCCTGGGGCACCAGGCAGCTGGAGCCCTGGCTGGGGCACACCAGCTCTCTGTGGTATAATCATGCCTGGGAGGTGAGGATTTGGGGCTTCTCAAGAAGTAATCTTTCTTAGTAAAGAAGTGATTAACCTTGCTTCAGTCACGAGCAGCAGTATTTAAAACAACAACAAAAAAAAAAAGGCAGCTGAGAGCTGCCTGCAGCTTGGCTCGGGCAGCCGCTTCTCCATATGGCGTGTGAAATGCCAGTACATGAAATTAGCTCTTATAAATAAGTAATAAGGGCTGATTTGCCCAGATCTGGATGGGCTGACTTCCTGTGGAACACAGCCCCTAACCGTAGCATCATTGTAACTGCAGGTGTTCGAGGCCACAGAGTTCCAACAAAACGTGTATTCTAGGGAGAGCTTGGAAGGAAAACAACACTTTGGGAAGGGGCCAGCATTCCAGCCTCATTCCAGGATGCTCAAGGAGGAGTGCCTGTTTGTGTTTTCAGAATTGAATGTTTCAGCTTTCTGACACTTTCCACAAGTCAGGCTCAAGTGAAATTATATTTTGTTCAAGCATATCCTTTGAAGTAACTGAAATTTTCCCTGATCCAGAGGACTCCTTGTATGGGAGTAATTTTTCTTCTCCAGAACATGAGAAAATTGAAATAATGAAACTTCCTCTGAAAAATCAGAAAGATTTGTCCCACATCACAATCTCATGTAATCTTTCACTGACAGGATGGGGGGGGGTCAGACTGAAAGCCCTATTCCTGCTGGAACAGAAATTCATTACGAAAGAAGGTGGCAAGATTTTAAGTAAAACTCTAGGACTTAGAGTTGCCCATCTCTGACAAAAAAAATTAAACACAAATAGTCAAATTCTCACAGACCCTGGTGACTTGAGACATCAGTTTTTCAGCTCATCTGCAAGAGGCCTTTCAAGCCTGGTGTCCGCTCGCAGGAGGCATTGGTTCAGGGACTGACCCAGCTGAAAGGGCCAAGCACCAGCGTCTGAATCCCCCTTTCCAGCAGCACCATGAGCTCCTGGAGGCCTGATCTTGCAGAAACAATGGAATTTTTCTTTGGTCACCATCAGTGAGATGGAAGCATTGTCACTGGGAGTTGGGGATTGATGAATGGTCCCTGAATTGCGGCAGCACAATCTGTCAGAGCTGAGGTTAATGGGGGGAATGGAAATAGCCTGAGCCTGCACAGCTGACATCATCTGCTAAATTAGCTGAAAACCTACTCACAGTGTACTCCTGCTCCTCACTTCGCTGTCACTGACCCCAGTAGCAGCTGCAGCACTGCCTGGGATCCACACGGAGCCTTAGGCAGCTCTTGGGGGCCGGCGTGCTGGGCTGGCATTGCCCAGCTCTGCTGTGGCTTGGGCATCACCCTGGAACACTGCCATGGCACAGGTGAAGGGTGACCCTGCCCTCATTTCAGTGGGACACCAGGCTTGGCTTCAGTTTGTCCTCAGCCGCTCTTAGGGCACAGAGGGATGCACAAAAAAGGGGAAAATTCTACTCAGAATTCATTCCCATGTGTTGCACAGAGTATCTCACAGGTAAGACTGTCACCTCTCCAGGGTCTGGTTCCTGGTCAGAGCTGGTACCACTGTGGCTCACTCTCCTGCCAACTGGGAATGCTTGAGAAATGTTCCAAATTTGTTTGGTACTCCACTGCAAAGTGCCACCTGTGCTGGAGATCAAATTAACCCACAGCTGAGAAAATGAAAAACCAGGAATTTAATTGTTTAATGGCTTCAAATCCTTTACTACTTAACTCCCATTTATAGCATAAATACTGAAGAAAATCAAGATATTTAAGAGCAAAACCAGATCCTAATTTCTGTTGATGTCTTGTTCTCACCTTACAGGAAGAAAGGTACATTCAGAGGCTGAGTTTGGCTCAGTAGGCACCACTCTGCTATGAAAGGCTCCAGCTCTTCCCACGGGCCTGATACTTCACAGTTTTAATAAATTTTTCCTGTCCTGAAGGTAAAATACAGCACTGAAACTTCCAGGAGCAGTTTTCTTGGTTTGTGGCTGCAGCATGGCCTTTTCTGACCTTTGGACATATGCCATGAATGCTTTAATCCCAGCAAGGGTTTTATCTTACACAGATACAATGAAGGATCTGAGAAGTAGGTCAGGGGACATTAGAGGCTGTTTGATTCATTGTGAATTGTGTGCACAGCATGGCTTTCAAGCCTGAAATGTCATTACTTGGATGCAATGAAGCTGCTGTTTTGTTTTAGAAAATAGTCTAATGGATGGTTAGTAGGAGAAAGGAGAGAGGAAGGTCTCTAGGGACCACCAAACACCATTTCAAGCAGGAAATCACCACCACAAGCAGGTGCTTGTGCTTTGTGGTGGCAGTACCCCCACCTGTGCCAGCAGCACCCCAAAGTTGCAGGGTGAGTGATGGGATTACAGACATGGGAGCAGGAGAGCTGCAGCTGTCTCCTCTGCTAGCCAAACAGTGCTTGGGGAACACTCCTGAGATACTTTCCAAAGTATTGATGATATTTTTTTCCCCCTCACAGTGCTTTAGTACCCTGTGTCTGTCCAGGGTACAGAGTTTTCATTTTTTTTAATGGTTCTCAAGAAATTATTGAGAAATAAAAATGCATTTCAAAGTTATCTTCAAGGCTTACTGTGGTTCAGATGGTTTCTTTAAA